TTGATAAAAGAAATGTATAAAATTGTGTTCATGTTGATAGGCACCATAAAAAAAAAAGAATGTTCATACATTTTTCAAAGAAAATATTATGATCGAAATGAAAAACAAAAAAATTAAGAGATACTAATTGCTACACCACATCGTTATTTTGCTTCTTCTGATTCACCTTGGTGTTCAAATCATCCACAAGCTTTACTAAAAAAAATAAACATGCAAAGTTAAAATAACAAACATATCAATATAAAAAAATTAAGATCTAAAAATCAATATAGTTCAAAAACAAAAAAGAACTAAGAGCCACTACCGCTATGGTAACGTTATTCACCGACACATTTACGTAGCCATGTGATGAAGCGAACTATTCTTTCGCCTTTCACCGACACATTTTTCGACTCTAGTGGAGCAACCTCCATCTCCGGAGGGATCTTCCAAGTGCATTTTAGAATGCTGACTCTTAAGGCAAAGAGAGCATTATTGCCTTGGCCGTATATCATAAACATATCATATGATATAGAAACAATAAAGAAAACTTAAACGCATCTTAACACTTAAGGATTCTCATGTTCAGAAACTCCCAAAGACAGATCTATCACCTTGTGAATTTGGTTTCACTTTAAACAGCTTGAATACACAATTTCAAAGATATAAAAACTAATAAAAAAACTATCACATATCCACTTATCTTTTTGGTGTTGGCCAGGGCCGGCTCTGGGTTGAAGCCTTTGAAGCTGATGTGTTAGAGCATGATCAATGGTAGTGTTTAGTGGTTTTTAATGGGTCTTTAAAAGATTAAAAACAATTAAATAATATACAAAATACTTAGAACTCCGATAAAAAGGTTCTAATTTTAGAGATTTAGAACCCCAAATTTTAGAGTTTTAGAACCCAAAAACAATTTATAATAAAAAAATCACTTAGAACCCCAAATTAACAAACTATCATTGATTATGCTCTTAGGCATCAAACAAATATATTAATGTTCAGGGCATCAAATTTTAAAAAATTCCTTGTAACGTAATGGTTGGTTATGGCTTTGGTTGGCAAGAGGTAATAAGTTCGACAGCCCTCAACCTCATAAGAGGGCATCATTTTTTTTTTTGCTTTAACTGCACCACCACCATGGACCGGCCCTGGTGTTGGCTATGGATTCTAGGGATCTAAATATCCGACCCATCACAAAATCCAATATTATAGGATTCATATTCTCGTCCAACAAATGTTGGCTTTGAAGTGTCTGTGTAACAAAATTACTTTGA